CACTGCATTAAAGTGTCTGCTGGCACCTTGCAAAACGGAGGGCGGTTCTCAGATGAATCTTCAGACTTGTATAAACTAATATTATTGTACAAATGACTCTGTCCAGAAATCCCAAAGAATTAGTGACTATTTGTGTTCTCATCCGTGCAGCTTGTGGTAATGCTGCTTTTGATGGATGGCTTTGAATTGGCAGATTTAGCTTTGGACGAGGTATTTGTCATCATTTGCAAAATGTTTAAAAGAGAGGTGAGGAAGAGACAATATTTATAGAAGCATCCCTGGCAAGCTGAGGGCTGTTTCCTGGAACTTGCATTTCAATCAGAGGCTGGCTGAGGGTGAGATATGACCGTGTGGAACAGCCGGGGGATATTTGGCCCAACCCTTCTTGTTCCTGACTGGCAACTTGGACCCGAACTCAGACTTGGAACAGCAAAGGGGGAAAGGCAGATCTCCGGATATTCTGGGATTCAACTTCCAGAAGCTCCAGCCAGCATGACCAGTGGTCAGGAGGGCTGCAGTGCAGGTCCAGATCATCCGGAGGTCTACCTTCCGCCTACCTTGCTTAGAAGACCTGGCTTGACCTGGACCCTTTACCCCTGAAGCGGTGAAGCCAACCCTGACCACCAGAGGGGCACACGGGGGGGGGGGGGTTCGCTGCCCCCCTCCCATGTTTCAGCACATTCCTCCCAGAAATCCCTTGCCTCAGGTCACTCGGCTGGGACTATCGGGGGCCATAGCTGGACACTGTGTGGGACAGCGAGGGGGTGGCAAGCACAGGGTCCAAACGAGTGCGGGGTGGCAAGCCGGCATCCACACGGCTTAGTTGAACTGCGCTAAATGTCAATACCAATTAAGTCTGTGCAGTTAAACAACGGCGGGTCAGTGTTTGCCCGTCGCTCTGGTGCGTTTGCATCCACCGGCCTTCTCGAGTTCACTGAGCAATGCAGAAGAGGGGTGGGAACCTCTCGGTCTGAGGGCCAGGCAGGTCTCGAGGGCCACCTGCCAGCTGTGGGTCGAACTACAAGCAAAGGGTGTGAGACGAAAGCCAAAACGGCTGGGGCCTAGAATATGCGGGGGGGGGGGGGAATCCAGCAGATTGCCGTTCAAAACTCATCTTGCCAGGAACTAAGTCCATTTCAGACTTTTGGGATGTGGGGGGAGCGTTGTGCACAGGCGGGGGGACAACCAAACAGTGGGGGAAAGGGGACACAAATGGAAGAGGACATGGTCCAGTGACCTCCCACCCCTTTCCCATACAATTCCCATATGAAGTCAGAGGAAATCTCCATAAAAGGCCCACCTGGAAGTAACTTTCTCGTACACAGTTGGCACTCACTATATGGGCAGCTCCCAGGGAGACATGGGAAAGGCAGGAGGGGGGGTTTAAATGGTGCAGCTATTTTGAATTTTCCCAACTTCCAAAAGCACCCTAAAATAAAGCCAAAACAAACAAGATGGAAGAGTCAGTTGGAAAACATTAGGGGGTTATGCTTGGAAGCTCATGGAGCATCCTAAAGCCAGTGCTCCCTGGTGACTGAATTGTTTAATAACACTACTGACCCACATCCCCCAAACACTTTTTGTTTAAAGAAAATAAATGAATAAGCAGTACTGAAAGATGCCATGGAGTGGGTCACCATTCAGTCATCTCTTAATTGGAAAGGCTTCCAAAAAGCTCTTGGACTGTCTGAGTTCAGTAATAGCACTGTTAATCCCACAAGATATTGCTCTGTTAAAATACTGGGTGGATTTTTATTTTTATTTTATTGCAATTTAAACCATAATCATAAATGTGGTTATGCTGAAGTCTCAAAGATGAACTTGGATTTTCTGGATGCACTGGTGCTTTTGGTGCTTTTATCTTCTCGGCATGGGAAGGAGATGTCTTTGCTTACTGTTAGCTATTCTGGCCATTTAATGTTTTCCTTGTACAGTAGCTGGAGTTGGCCATGTCTTTTCCCCAACATGTTGACATAAATTATTTTTCCTTGGCTCCACATGCAGTCATTTTCACAGCAAATTTCATTGGTTGTAGAAACCCTCCGAGATGTTCTTCGTGCTTCTCTGTGCCAGGCATTGATTCCTTATGCTTATGGGTGTGCTTATGATTCCTCACCCATGGTAATTACCCACCATTCAGATATTCCCCAGGGATTCTCCTACACTTTCTGATCATTTCCATCACTATTTTTTTAGAAGGAAGGAAACGGTAGGAGTTCCCAGAACCAGAAACCCTCGCATTTTCTCCATTCCCCGCTACAACAGTGCCATCTTCTGGCTGCATAAGGGAGCACATTGTAAAGGCAGAAAGGGGCAGAAATAAAGCAAATGTAAAGGAGCCAATCTTAATCCCACCCATCATCATCATCATCATCATCATCATCATCATCATCTGGAAGCAAAAAGCCTTGGGGAACTGGCTGTTAAGAGTTTCCTTTTGGGAAGTCCAAAGCTCAGTAAGGGGAGGGGCAGCTTTTTCCGGGTGAGGCCATCCTGGGCCAAGATTCGTCCCTTGGCTTGGGAGGTGTGTTGTGTAGGGCAAGAGGCAGAAAATATTGGTGGTGTTGGCCTGTGGGTTGCAAGATCAATGCATGCAAGATCATTTTCACTCAGCGGAGAGCTGTTAAAATATCGTTAATTGAATAGCAGCTGTTTTAAAAGACAATAAAGCACCATAAAACAGCATATAAACACAGCCGGTAGAATGCATTTCCCAGCATCGAATGGCTTAATTAAAAAGCTGAGGCAAATTGAAAGTCTGAATTGGCACCAAAACCTCCCTCTTGCCCAGCTGGGCCACATAAGCTGTAGTGGCAGGGTTGGCAGTCCCGCTGTAGTGGACTGCCCATCTTTCTGGGACCCTGTACCCCAGCATTTGCCTCAGCAAGCCAGATGTTGGCTCCCTCATCCTCTGCACGGGTAGCCATAGGGACCCTGCTGCCATGACCCTTATATTCTTCCACATTTTCTTCTCAATAGATTTTCCATGGTAAGAGAAAAGGTTTGGGAAACATAGAGGGCTACAGGCGAAAGATCTGGACACCCACACCCCATAAAACTCTGTAAATAAGGTAGGATTGGAGCAGGAGAGTGGCTGTCAAAAATAATAATAACCAATCAGGGCCTACGGCACGAACCTTCCTGGAACAGACCCCATTCATTTCCCTGATGCTTCTGCAGAAAACCGTCCCGATTTCTTTTGCAGGCCTCATGACGGATTGCAAGCTGGATTTCATTCCTTGGCCATCCCGGTGCCCTGCTACTGCACATGGTTACTGGTGTGCAGAGCAAATATCATACAGATGGCATTTCCACACAAAATTCCCTGAGATTTCTGTGTTCTCCCATTTCTACCTCCTTTCCTCTGGATTCCAGCCACATTCCCCTGTGTTTGGCACTGGTACTTAGAAGGATTAGAACATTTTCTGCATTCCGCCATTCCGGTAGTTTATGCTTTGATATGAATTCAAAGAAATAGAGCCAGATTGGACTTTTCTTGGAAAGGTGTCTGGTTTTGCCTACTTAATTAGTTAGCTGTGCTTGCTACAAACAGGGGGTTGCTCCTGCATATCTGTTGGATACATCCATACAGATAATTTTGGACAAAGCCCTGCCTCAGAAAAGTTGCAGTGTGGCTTTGACTGAACGCTATCAAGGGATGTTTCCAATAATTTCTTCATTTCCTAAGCTTTGCTACGGTGGCGATTCCACTGCCACAGAACACTTGGTGTGTGGCAACATTTAACCGTTTCACATACAGAACCGAATGGTGCTTCTGAATGAGTCACACTCTTGCTTAGACTTCACTGTGGTTTTTAGCCGGCTGCTGGCTTGATTACTCAGAGAAAGTATTAGCAATCCCCATGAGCTGCAATTATTTTATTTATTTATTTAAAATATCTGTATGCCGTCCTATTCACAAAAAAGCCTCAGGACTAGCGGCAAAGCAAGAAAAGAAATGACGTTTTCCTGCCTTTGTGATCCTTGGCCATGGTAGCAGGAAATCCTGGGAGTTGAAGTCCAAAAACATCTGGAGATCTGCCTTTTGTCTCCAGGACATTGAAGGATGCAGTCCCATCCATGACTGTTCAGACAGAAAAAAAGAGTCTTCCAACTCCCAGCATGCCCCAGGCAACCATGCTGGCTAGGGCATGCTGGGAGCTCTGGAAGATTTTTTGTCTAGACGTTTCTAAGATGGGACCTTAAATCATTTTCAGATTCCAGTCAATGCCTCAAGTACTGCAAACCCACTCAGGGTGACAGGCTAGAGGCTTGTCAGCAAGGTCAAATTATATTCTTCATTTGATATAATTTATTCTTCTATATCCTTTCCAGAAAGCCATGGGGTTCAAATCAGATTCAGCCCAGTTTCAATTTGTAGCCCAGGGAAATGCATCCTCAAAAGTTACCGATGAGTCACACGCAAACTGTTTCATGCCACACCCTTTCTGAATAAAAGCAATCAGCTTTTTTGTTAACTAACCTGAAACTACAGTTTTCACAGGGTATGGGTTTGTCACTCCTGATTGGTCATGGGAACAGCGGCTTTGCTCATCATTTACCAGCATTAGTCACTGAAATGTTGACAGCAGATGTTCAAAATCAGGATGCCAAAATAAATCTAACCTCCCCTTTGCACAGAGAAACCAGACCCCTCACTTTCCATAATCAGGTTTGGGTTTGTGGGGCCAGCACTCTGCACATGATCAAGGAAACTCTCGACTTTCCTGTACTCCACTTGGAATGGGTTCTGCAGACCTAGCAACACCTGGGCCACCTCTAAACTTGCTGTGTGTGTGGAGATTGGTAGCCCTGGGGGTGGGGGTGGGCTTGTCTCTGGACACCATCCCACCCAAGCCAGCTTCTTAGAATGTGCCCAGGATAACGTGGGACAAGCAACTGCAGGTGGTTCCTTGTGGATCATTGGCATATTTCTTTTCACTGGAGAAGAAATGCTGAGGTATCAAAGAAGGAAAGTAATGATAAAAATGGTTTCTTAGCTTCGGCCCCTGAACAGCCACCTCCACCGCCGCGCCCCTACCAGGGTGTTCGTGTCAAGGAGCCGGTGAAGGAGCTGTTGAAGAGGAAGCGAGGCACCATCCAGAATGCAAACGCAGCTGCTGCGGCGACTACGGTAAGAAACACCAACCGACGACCCTTGGGGAAGTTCTCCTTTTGTCTGGTGGGCTTCCACCATGCCATCCTTGCTGACATGCCAGTTCTGGGTGCAAGGGAGCAGGCTGGATGGGCCCGAGGGCTTTCCGTGCCGACGAGAGCCAGTGGGGTACAGCGACTGGGACTCGGGCGATTGGGGTTCCATTCCCTGCTGGGTGACTCCAGGCCAGTCCCAGACTCTCAGCCCAGCCTCCCTCACAGTGTTGTTGTGGCAGGGATAAGACTGAGGGCAGGAACTGGTGGAAGATGTAAGCTGCTTTGCGTTCATTGCAAGAAAAATGCAGGGTATAAATCTAAGAAATATACACTTAAAATGGACAGACATCTGTGGGCAAAACCTGCGTCTTCCATTTTGAGCCAGGAGAAGTTTCACTACCCTGCATAGCTCAGCTGCAAGGAAATGAGGACACTCCTTGGGGCAGGAACGCTGGCGTGTCCCTTCACACCTGCCATTCCCTGCATGGACACTCGGTTTGTGACTGGCTTCCACTCACTGCCCTGATGCTCGCTCACTGTTTGAACACGCCTGAGGTGAATTTCCTCCTTGGTCTCTGAGTAATACTTTCTTTCACATGTTGTGCTCGTCAATCAACCCATTATTTTTTCCCCTTTAGGTGTTTTTGCCCCATCAGTCTCTCCCGTCTTATTCACCCACCGGTAAGGGTTTCCAAAATCCCCCCCCCCCCCGCCTCTCAGTTTGTTCCCAGCTTTGCTTTCTGGCCCTCAGTTTGCTCACCCCTCCTTTGCCTCGCAGGCCAGCTCTGCGCCGAGTCGGACCTGGTCGCCTCTCCGGTGCCGCTGGTGGATGAAGGGTCGCTCTATTCGGGCTGGCTGGCACAACCTTCCCCGTCCTCGCTGCAGCCTTTGACCCAGTGGACCACCTACCCAGATTATGTGTCGCACGAAGCTGTCACCTGTCCGTACACAGCAGACATGTATGTGCAGCCCATGTGCCCCAGCTACACGCTAGTCGGGACATCTTCAGTGCTGACCTATGCGTCGCAGCCGCTGATCACCAATTTCACGGTGAGTTTGAACGCATCGTCGGAGGGTTGCCCATTCTTCAAGTTGTGTTGCGGGATGCTTACAACGGCCATTAATTTCTGTTTCGTGAGGTTGCCTTTCCACCCGTTTTTAAAAAGCTATCCACACGCCTGAACGCTTTCTGGGGATGAGGTTCAGGACCATGGACAGCAGCTTAAGCATTCCCTGTGGGGCCCAGGGAGGGGTCCCCGTCCTCCATTCAGCCTTTCCCAACCTGGTGCCTTCCCAGTTGTGTTGGAACCCGGGTGCCAGAACCCAGCGTGCAGCCCAAAACTTCAGGAAGGCTAGTCCCTCTTTCGTATCTGTGTTTCTTACATGTTGGAGCTTCTCTCTACCACAAGGTACCTCTGGCCTGGGAGTCCAAGCCAAGCCAGCCCTGTGCGGATTCCCAGACTTTCACGCCCGTTCTTCTAGGCCCACCCCATTTCCCCAACCACTGTTAATTTGGCAAGTCCTCAGCTTTTGGATGCCTTCCATGCCTCATTCTAAAAGGCTGATACTTCCGAGGAAGCCTCAGAAAGTGCCATGACAGTCAGGGCCTTCTCGGTCGTGTCCTCTGCATTATGTTGCAGTCTCCCTGACCTTGCAACATCAGTATCGTTTCATTGATGGGTGAAGAGCTTTTTCTCCAGGCATTTAAATCAACGTTTTTCTTGTTCTTGATGGTTGAAAATTGTTCTTAGAAATCTCTTTTTCTCTCTGCGGTGCATGCTTATAGGTTTGCATATACATGAGTTTTGTCAGATATTTTAAAGGGTTCAGTCACTGTAAATCACACAGAGAGCTGCAGCTATTGGGCGGCATGGAAGGTGATGCATGGCATGAATTACAGTCCATTTGCTGTGTGTCACTGACTGAGCATTAAGCTGCAACAGGTTGGCATTTTTGGGTCCCTGCTCTGTTCCATTTTGCCTCTGGACTCCCCAGAGGCAGGACACAGCCTCCCTCAGAGCTCCAACATGGAGGTCGGCCCTCAGGCCAAAGGGAGTTCCACGGCCCTGCTTGGTGTTCGAGCTGCCAGAAACAGACATCGCCAAAGCAGACGTGCAACCAAACATTCGCCACCACACCCCACTGCCCTCTAAGCCTGTGTGCGTGAGAAAGGAAGATGGAAAAACTATCCGTGCAGGATCCTTGTTTGCTTCCCAGGAAGAACGAGGCTTGGAGAGGGAGGGGAAGAGGGTCCCTATCCGGAGGGGGCCTCGACTTGGGCTCAGCCAGGAGTCTCACGGTTCCATCGCAGCTTGTGGGCAGCAGTCATTGACGGCAGCCATAAATTGCATTGTTCTGTCCTGTTGCCCAGAATATCGAATGCCGGATTTGCATATCAAAAGGGAGAGCCTGAATGACTCACGCCAGCTTTTTCCCACTCTGTTTCAGGGTGATATTTTCACAACTTTATCTGCAGCTACAGTGTGAATGTGATTCAGAACCATTTTATTGGATGGTTTTCAAGTTTCTTCACATAAAATATGCAAAAATCCCCAGCTTTTGGGAGCCACCCAGAGAGCTTTGGCTGTTGGACCATTCAGAAGTGGCACTGATGACCAAGATGATGGGATACATCAGAATATGTATTTATTTATTGGGTGTATATGCTGCCCATTAACTGTAGCGTCTCTGGAATGCTTACATACAATTAGTACCACAATGCAATGCAATAAAATCAACAGTGCAATAAGACCCATAATAACAATAACATCAATGATAGCCAGCCAAAATATAAACAATTAAAATAGTAATTGAAAGAATTAAATATGTAGGATAAATAAATAAATCGAGAAGCTAATTAACAACAAATAATACAAAAAGATTATGCACAATCCATAAAACTGTAAAATCATGAAAATACAAAATTGCAAAATGGTGGCAGCAATTAATTAATCTTTAAAATACTCCATCAAAAATAGAGCCCAACAGATTCACCGTGCACAGTGCCTGTGACGCAAAAATGACTTCAGCTAATCTCATGTGGGAGAGAATAAAAGTGGTCCGGGCTGATGGGAGCTGTAGGCCAAACCACCCTCGCTGTCACCCCTGCACCAGACCGTCCCTCTCAGGGTGCAGGTGTGGACAGAAGACCCCGCAGCCCCCCGCCGGCATGAGCGCATGGGCAGCTGGGTGCAAAGCCCTGAGAGAAACGCCACCGATGGCTCCGTGTGTTTTGTTCCAAGCAGGCGAGATCCACCTCCGCGCCAGCCGTGCTGCCGCACCTGGACATGATGGACCAGCAGACTCCTCTCAGCTACTTCCCTTGGACTCAGCCGCTCTCCACTCTGCCTGCACCTTCCCTGCAGTACCAGCCCGCCTCAGCGGCCATCCATGCGCCTCAGTTCGTCCCCGTCCCCGTTTCGGTCCTGGATCCCGTCCCCCAGGAACTGGAGGACACGAGGAAGGAGATGGGCCCTTTGACCATTGAGAAGCTGCTGCTGCAGGAGGAGAATAACGATGGTTATGATTTAAACAACAGCCTCCCCGTCGAAGGGCTTTAAGGCACAGGGCTTCAGCCAAGAGGGATGGCGGGACGCTTCTCAAACCTCCCCGGTTCAAAAGTCATTCAGTTCTCTCCTACGCACATGGGGTGTTTCCAGATGAGGGTTTTATTGTGCCATCGCCCTGCCTCGTGGTGATGAGGACCCAGGCAATTATGCTTCTCATGGGTAGCCCTCCTGCGCTCTCCCACCGCTCCACCTGTCCTTTTTCTTCCTTCACAAAAGCCGTTAAAGATGAAAATGCGGAAGAGCTGCATGAGGGCCTTTGTTTGGTTGGGCTTACAGCGGCCTCTCTCTCTCTCTGGAAGCATCTCGGACATGGAATCGGGGTTTGAGGCATTGCAGGGAAAAGCCAGTGTCTTCATGCACCCCTTTTGGCACCTCGGTTCAGCCAATGAAACTGCAGTCCCTGGTTTATCCCTGCTAAATCAGGAACACTGCATGCACACCTGCAGGGCCCACTGGGCCCTTCCATCTAAATGGGGAATTGGGAAGGAAGATGGGAAGAATGAGAAGACCCTGTACTGTCTCCTTTCCAAGGGCAGAGCCAAGCCAGCCCTGTAGCCGCCGGCCAGAACCTTCAGAATGTGGACAGCAGGTAGTTATGGCTGGGCTATTCAAGCAGCATAGCCAAGAGAGGGCGCCAGGTTGGGGAAAAGCGAGTTAAATTATTTTCACCCTTGGGGCTCCTGAAAATCTTGCTTAAAATGCCACATCATTCTAATATATTTTGACCTTTGAAAAGATATTGAAGTTCTCATTTGATTCTGCGTTTTTTACAAGAAGGAAGGGAGGAAGGAAGGACGGAAGGAAGGAAGAAATGCTTTCATGTTTCAATGTTGTGCCTATCTTATGTGTTTTATTGTAGCAATCAAAATACTCAGAGTTCTTTGTAAATATTTAACTGAGATAAATCAATTAAGATTATGAAAAGGCAAGCTGGGTCCCTGCTATGTTTGAAATCTGGACTGCGTTTTTAAAAGGACTAGTGCAGTATGGTTGTAGAAGAAACTGATAGTAATAAAAGCCAGCAAGGGCTTCATGTACACACCCCCTAAGGACTGCTTCTGGAGTAGCAAAAGGGGGGGGGGAGGCTAAAAGGAGATGCAGATTTGCATGAAACATGCATGTGCAAATGCATAATTACTGTTATTTAAATGGAAATGATAATCGAGCAAGCGGTAATGGAGAGTGGGTGAGCTGGTGCCCCACTTGGGCAACCGCAAGGCTCTTTGGCTTTAAATTAGACTTAGACGGGGCAGCCCTTCGAACACAAGCCTGATCCGGACAGCCGGCAAAGAGAGGCATTTCCTTTGAAGCACAGGCACGTCTGCCTTAAAGACTTACACATAAGGGGCTTCTCACACTCGCAGTGCTTCTGCGCTGCACACTTACACCTGCATCGTGGCTTTCCTTTTATGCCGGGCCCTGTGGGAGCACGTTTGCAGCTTGTGAAACGAGAGTGCGCGCAAATCAGTCCCCGGCCGTGGCAAGTCATTACATGAGCATCGTTTATGTTGCTCCCCTTCCCTTGATCCTGCAGTGTGCCCTATTGGTACAGTCTCTCCGTGGAGAGGAGATGGGTTGGAAAGCGTCGCCCTTCCACGGAAAGTCCACTCCAGAGGGTCAGGAGGTTCTCTTGCACGCTGGCTGTGGGCCCGCACCACAGCCATGACTGGCGGACGAGCACTCCCCGCAAACTTCTGGCGCGCAGCCTGGCTCTTGCTCAGGTGACGGTGGTGGTGGAGAGGAGGAAGAGGAGCAGGAGATGCCATGGCCCACCTCTTTGCTGGCCCTCTGCTTGCCAAGCAAGCCATGAGGAGGAAGAGGATGAGGAGTGAAGGCAGGGTGGCCATGGGGGTGAGAAGGTCAGCTCGGGGGGGGGGAGGCGACCATGGTCAACTCAGTGAGGCAAGGGGCCATCCAGGGTGTTCTGGATAGGGGCCAGCAAACACCCAGAACTGGAGTTGATGGGCAGCCATGCCATTAGCAATCACTTCTGCCCCAGGTCAACGACCTGGACCATGGAATCATTTCAATTACAGTTCCATGCACCACCGACTGCAAATGGCCCATTGAGCTGCCCGTACTGGAGAAAAACTGAATCCCAGTAAAGAAAGGAAACCTTTCAAATGTATACTTAGCGTTATCTTGGCAAATGCCATTTCTTCATTTCCGAAAGGACTGTTGACATTCCAAGCGTTCATTCTGTAAAGTTTTTATCATGTGTAGGTACAACAATCTGGAAGCAAACATTGCTTGCAGGACCTGAGGGCCAACCAGAGCAGTAAAAAAGTTTGAGTCTCTTCCCGCACCCCCACTCCCATCTCCTTCTTCCACCTGGACTTCAGGTGCCAGATGTACAATTGCCTCTTTGTTTGGAAGAAAGGGCTGCTTTAATGGAATGGAATGCCCTGCAGTAATTCTTCAGCTAGAAATCAAGGAAGTCCAAGACGCTGAACAGAAGCAGCTGCCTCTTGTTCTGTAGGCTTCAACCTGAACAGCCCGGAATGCCCACACAATCATAGCCCAAAGCTTTCACTTCTCCAAAGACGCCTCCAGATGGACAGAAGAGCATAAGAACAGTCATGGTGGATCAGGATGAGGGTCCACCTATCCCAGCATTCTGAGCACTTAATGGTGGAACAGCTGCTCACAGGAATCCCACAAGCAGGGCAAGAGTACCACCCTGGCACTCAACCTCCAAAGCCACTCAAGGACCTCAGTGCATGGAGGTGGCATAGAGCCAACTGGACTAGTGGCTCTTGATAGCCGTCTTCTCCATTTATTGGGTCACTCCTTTTTCAAAGCCATCCAAGTGGAGGCCATCACTTAATCATGGGAGGGAATTCCATAGTTTAATTATGTGCTGTATGAAGGAGGACTGGACAGCTTCACGAGATGACCCCTTTGGGTTCTAATATAGGGGGAGAGAGAGAAAAATGTCTCTCCACTTTCTTCACATTATGCATAATTTTGAACACCTTTGCCATGTCTCTCCTTACTTGCCTTTTAACTAAGCTAAACAATCTTAGCTATTGTTTTAGCTAAGCCTTTCCTCCTAGGGGAGTTGCTTCAACCCCTTGAGCATTTCCATTGCCCTTTTCTGCACTTCTTCAAACTTCACAAGGTTCTTTTCTAGGTGCCGTGACCAGAGTTACACACATTCTTCTAAGAGTGGTCCCTCCATAGACAGGGAGGATGCTACTGGCAGTTTTAGTCCCAATCCCTTTTCTAATCATGCCGAACATGGAGCTTGCCACTGTCGCAGTGGCCATGCCTCGGACATTTTCATCCAACTGTCCACTACGACCCCAAGATCCCTTTCTTGGTCAGTCATTGTTGGCTCAGCCTATACTTGAAGAAGGGATTTTTGGCCCAACATTCATTACTTTATACTTGCTTACACTGAATTGCACTTGCCATTTTGATGCCCCTTCTCCCAGCTTGGAGAAATCCCTTGGGCTCCTCACATTCCCTTTTGGTTTTATCCACCCAAAATAATTTGCCAACTTGGTCACTTTGCAGCTCACACCAAATTCCAGATCATCGTAAGTGGCATACAAAGCATTGCTCTTAGTAAACATCCTTGTGGGACCCTACTTTTTACAACCCTCCACTGGGAGAAATTGCCATTTATTCCCAGCCTCTGCTTTATCTTCTTTAACTAGTTACTGATCCGTAAGAGGACTTTTCCTCTATTCCATGACTGCTAAGTTTGCGCAGAAGTCTTTGGTGAGGGATTTTGTCAAAGGTCTTTTGCAAGTCCAGGTAACCAATGTCTACTGGACCACCACACTACAAGGGTCAGTGAGACGGGACTTACTTTTGTGGAAGCCATGCTGATTCTTTTCAGCAGGACTTGTCCCTCAATGCTTACTATAGAGAGCTAGGCTTGGGGTTACCATTGGCAAGCACCATTGCATGCCAGGATCATTCACTGATGTGACGTGCTAAATGCCACTGTCATCTGCATGTCCAGCTGGGAAATGGGATTCATTTTGAACCCTGTAAGGATGAGGAGCTTCTCATGACTGCAGATGATCAGATGCCAGGTGTGCCTATTTCATCCCCCCAGGAAATGCTGCTGCTCATCAGAGTAGGCAGCATTTTACCTGTGGACCTGAAGTGCACAAATATTTACTGTATTTCTTCAGAACTGGAGAGTTATAAAGCCAAAGAGTTTAAGTAGGAGAAAGGCAAGACAGAAGAGTGAGACACTGAAAAGTAATGGATAGCCCCAGGAGTCATTTTACGGGAGATACAAGGAGATCACCTGCAGGCCAGATGCTTATCTTTTTCACTCTCTCTTACACAAACAATGTTCTTGCAAGCACCTTCTGGCCCTTACAGCTGGCTGCTACACATGGAGGCAGCAGTTTGGTGTACGTAGCCGTGAACTTGCCCAGTAAAGTTCTGGTGGCCAAAGTACGTCTCTGCTCAGTTTTGCTGGACACACAATTTTAGATGGTCTATAAAATGCACATTAGCCGATTTCACAGATCGGGCAATGTGGGGATATTAGCCACAATCGGGTCAAGCATAATGCTAGCCCATAGTTTGGTTGTTGGATTCTGGTTTGTCATGATTTATGAACATGGCTGTGCCAACAAACCATGGTTGGTGAACCATGAGAAAAAGAAAACTGCTGTGCCCTCCAGGCTAATACCTACACACAGCTTTGTGTACAGAGATGTTAAGTAACAGGCACTGGGGCCTTAGAAGGTCAGTTGTCTGATCCAGCAGAACACATATGGTACAGGATTCATGGTGCGTGGCAACTAGCCTTGGTAGCCAAGAATGTCGGTTGATTGCTGACCCCCAGAAGCTGATAATTAAAGGGGGAAGTTATTATTCCTGTTCCACCAGGCTGGCTGCTGTTGAGAATAGGACTGCTCAGGGGGCAATCCTATGCATGTCTGGGAGAAAAGAGTCCTTCAACTCTCATGTGCCTGTAGGAGCAAGACAAGGATTGGAAATTCTGGTAGCCATGCAATATTTTCCTCTTTTTTCCCCACGAACTGGAATAATTGCTAATTGTGCATAGGATAGTTTCTTAAATTAGGTGAATCTTGACCCAATACAGCAAGGCAATTCCTTCATCCTTAAGTTCTAGGTATGCCTCCCATGCTGGTTTCCTGACCAAATTTGTTGGGGCAGTGGACAAAGCTCTCTTAACTAGCTATCTCCTCCTTTTAGGCCTGACCACATAGACAGCCAAAGATCTTTTGCAATCCACACTTGTATTACCCCACAGTCCAAACTGTCATAACATTTCATTTTCTGGTGCTCCTTGTTGAGGCTTTTATTGTGCAATGTTCCATGTTTACAGAATTTTTCAGGATGTCCAGATTTTAGCCTCTTTGATTTGTAAACATTCCGTGTTTTTCCACTGCATCTTCCATATCTGATTCTTATCAAAAAAAAAACAAAACAAAACAAAACAAAACAAAACAAAAACCACAAAGGAGAAAAAGAAAGAATGTTGGGCATTTGGATTAGTAGAGACAACAATAACTATGTGCCCCTAATCACACATCTCCCCTGCCCTAAAATGACCATTTTCAGAATTTTAAAATTCAGTGCCCACTGTCAACATTTCAAGGTGGGTGGGTGTCACTAGAACTTCTACAACAATTAATATGTTTATCTTGGTGCAATTATTTTTGCTGACTGTCTTTCTACCAACCAGACTCAAACTTTGTGAAGCTGGGACTCTAAAAGCTCTGTTCCTATGAAGTCCTGTTGACCCTGAATGGAGGTTATGCCTTTGGCCATGCAAAATGGAACAGAAACATTTATCTTTTCTTAACATCCTTCATTTGGGAGTTCTCCCCCCTCCCCCTTTCTGCTCCACACATGCACAATTCTTCCTTTATCTTTCTGGAGCCATTGCATGGGGCAATAACTCATCCAATAAAGAACATCTGTCTGCCACTGTCTCCTGATAATTCTGAAGATTTTCAGTCGGCATTGATAGAATCGCCTGCAAATTGCAGGTTTATCTTTGCAGGATCACTAGAACATCGATCTCGCCCACTCCAGGAAAGGACAACCTTTTCATTTGCCTTTTTATCCTGCAGAAGAATTTGAATAATGTCTGAACGAGCAACACCTGGTCCTCCTTATTTGGCCCAGCTTCTTTGGGGAGAGCCCCAGAATTCCCCAGAAATTACCCAGCCTGATTTCTTCACCAGACTCAACCGACGTTACCCTGAGTGCACACAGAGGGTGTAGGTTTATGCCCCCTGCCCTTGTTCTTGCCCCTAACATGCATTTTCCATAACTTGTGCAACGAGTTCACTGTCATGGGACAGGGCAACCTTTCCCACCGTGGTGCCCTCCAGATCGTCCAGCAACAGCTCCCAGAATTCCTTGTGTGAGCTATGCAGGCCGGGACTGGTGGAAGTTGAAGTCTAAACTTTCTAGAAGCGTCCAGTTTGGGGAGGCGAGTTCAGGTGCGTGCAGGTAACTGGAGGTGCTCCTTTTGACAGAAAGACAGACCCTACTGTCTTTGGAGAAGAGGACTCCCAAATGTACAAATCCCACATGGATTCTGTTTCACTTGGCATAGCCAAGGGAGATAGTTGGGGAAAGCAACCAGTGCAGCTGAGTGCGCATCTGCTTTTTTACAGGGCTGCCCCTCCGCTGTACTTCAACATCTCTTTCATGGACTCACCAAGGATGCTGCGCAATTGCCTTCCCTCTCTCACACACCCACAGAGAGGTCCCACAGATTGCCACATTATTGGCGGAAGGGCAAGCAAACCTTGCCTGCCACGGTTCTGCTCTGAGTGAAGGGCCTCATGATCTCGCCTGACCGGGCGCATGAAAACTAAATGCAAATAAAGATTGATTCCCTGTCTGTGAGCAAGGAAGGGCAGCTGGGAATCTGGGCCTTTGAACCCTGACTCGCTCTGGAGAAGCAGCTGCAGCCTGGGGTGCAGCTAAGGCATGGAGCCTCACTCCTTGCTAGGCTGCGCGGGTGTGGCGAGCAGGGATGCCGCCTCCATCTGCTGGGATCCCCATTACCTCTGAGCTTAGCTGTGAGAGCAAATGGGCTTCCCAGCACCCGTGTCTGCTGTCGCAATGTGGAGTGTTTGGGGGTGCTGGGTCCTGAACGGGCAAGCCAGAATCACAGGCCTTACAAAAGCCCAGCTCCTGACGGAGATGAAAAGGGCTATGTGGGGTTTCTTGGAACAGATCGACACACCTGCCTGCGTTTTTGGACTCTCCCCCGGGCTGCCTGTGTGGCTGGTGATGAGCCCTTGCACTTCCCATGCCCCATGTAGTACTGGGAGAACTGGACAGGATGGGGACTGGTCTAACCTACTGGGCTGGCTGAGTGCTTGTGGGAATGGTGAAAAAGCCAAGTTTGGGGGGAAGCAAACACACATCTCAAACAACTCCTGTTCCTCTTACTGGCTCTGCACACCAAAGCTGATGGTTCCATAAACATGCTGGCTTAAACCAGCACCCCATGAAATCAGGCTCATTCTGGTTTGGGGGTGGGATCCTGGCTGTGCTTCTGGATGAGGCTTTTCCTGTGCCATCTTGCTGCATCATCCATGGCACTTCATTGGTAGGTGGGTGTCTAGACGTCATCATTTCCCACTTGTAAGATGTTTTCCTATTGCTTCTCCTGCCTATCCTCTTCTGCCAAACAATAATTAAAGGGGGGAATCTATGCAATGCCTCCCAGCGGGTTGCCCTGCACCCCCCCCCCCATCTGGTTCGCCGCTGGATGGCTTGGACGCGTCTTTAAAATTATTATTAGGACGTTTAAAAGCAGGAAATGCCTGCAGATGCCCAGCAGGAGTCACTGCAGTCTCCACTCACTGGGCGATGCTTATTTTTCCCGAGCTGAGCTAGAAAATCGGCGGCAGAAGCAAGAGAAGAGAAGCGGGCTCTTCTTTCTTTCTTTCTGCGAGAGAGGAGAGCGTCGGGAAGTGGTAGGAAGAGGCGCTCGGCTGCGCGCGCGCGCTCGGCTCCAACCGCTGGTCACCCGCCCCAGGGAAATCGCGGCCAGGTGCACGTTTCTATGGAGGCTGAGAATTCAGCATCACAACGGATCTGGGCCTGGGTGTGGCTCGCCATTCCAGGTGCTAGGCATCACAACTGACCACACACCATCTGGAGACCAAGCCCTGTGAGGCACGTGGGAGCGTTTGGCCTGGAGAAAGAGAGATCGAAGAGGGACGAGGGGCTGGGGAGCCACTGGAACAGGTCCAGGGAGAAGAGCGTGCTGGGTGGGACCGGGGGCGCCCATGGGGAGCCCAGGAGCAGGGTGTGTCCGCAGCAGCACTCTCCTGCCCATGTTCCCCAGCAACTGGCGTAAACAGGCATACCACCTCTGGACCACCTTCTCCTGTATGCATTTGCTTGATCCCCTTTTAAAGCCATCCAAACTGGTGGGCATCCCTTCATCTTGTGGAAGTGGATTCTTTGCTTGGTCCGAAAGTCCGGGGTGGACCTAGCAGTCTGCTTCCTGGCATGACCCCGTGGGACCGGGTGCAATAAGCAGGGGGGGGGGGAGATGCTTCTCCATCCAGTATCTCCACACCTCATACCATTTCCTATGCCTCTATAACATCTCCCCTCATTTACCCTTTTTAAAGATGGGGTTTGTCCCCTGTTGCTGCAGGGGGCAGGACATGAAAGGGCAGGGAAGCAGAGTTTGGCTAATGTCCCGAAGAAAAGAAACGTCTCTCTGCCCGAGACTGCCTTGGGGAGCGGGTGTCCTTCCTCTGCTGCGCATCCCTGAACAGGGATGGCCTGGCAGTCCATTAGGAATGCTTTAATTTTAAAGTTCCTGCATTGAAAAGGGAGCTGGATTAGATGACCTCTGTGGTGTCTTGCAGTGTAAATGTTCTGTGGACAAACTGGGTTGGAAGATGGGTGAGGACTGTACCAGGCACATTGAAGGACTAAAAAAGCAACTGCAGTAGATGAGCTGATGTTTGTTTAATGGAATCTTAACACATGCAAAACGGTGGAAGAAATGCCACCACACAACTTAGAATGAAGTGGACCCCCCAGAAAGCAGCAGCAGAAGACAAGGGTGGGTTTAAGTAGCCATCTATTTGCAGAGGGAATATACTTGTTATCTGATCTGAGCACAACCCCTGCCATATTTACAGGAGATAGGAAGTAGATAAGACAAGTGAGCAAGCTTTTGTGTCTCACAGAATTCTTCAGCCAGCAGAATGGGAAGGGACAAAACTTATAATGCAGACTTGGTGGCCATTGAGTGTAAAACTCAAGGAAAACTCAGCCCTTTCCCTTCATGTGGATCAGAGGCACGGAGCTTCTTTGCAGCTCAGGGAGAAATTCCTACAGGGTGTGTTCCAGGGGCAGGTGGGCCAAAAGTTGAAATCCGCCCACCCGCGCCCACGCAGATGGTAGCTTAAATCTTTTTCTGGCACACGGCATGGCCCTTAGTTCTTCCCCATAACTGGCAGTGGCAGGATCCGTGGAGCAAAGCGATAACCATGATGCATATTTGTGCAAACGGAACAGGCTGCAGAATGTGGCTTTCCCCCCACACAGATCTGGATGCAGAGGGTGTTTTTTTCTGCCCCCCCCACCCCCGGTCCATGCTGCCTGGTCAGAATTCTGTGATGCGCAAACACTTGGTCTCCTCCAACTGGGCTGGCCTGATTGTACCTACGCAGCATTTGGGCACCTTGGAACTGAAAGCGTGGCCACCCGCTGCTGACCCCTGTGCTTCCAGCAGCAGATGGGGCCTTCCATTAACTGCAGCAGCTGTGCCAGCTCCGGTCCCTCCGGAAAAAGTCGTCTGCCGCAGAGACTGAGGGGGCATAGTCCATGCAGTCCACAGTCGTGCTGGGGAAATATTCCGGGACTCTGAGCATGTCCAAGTGCTGGGAGCCGCAAGAAGGGCAGCAGCACGTGGGCGAGGCGGGAGGGTACAGTCCGTGGCAGTCCGGTGCGAAGGGGCCGCCGTCCGAAGGGGCGAACATGCAGCTTCTGGCTTCCGGAGGAGACGGAGAGCCGTAACTGAGTGGCGCGAAAGGCGGCAGCTGGGGCGGCGAGTAGCTGTAGTCGAGCAAGCCGCTGGGATCAGATGTGTCTGGGGATTCAGAGCCCTGAAAGGAGGCGAGGAGGAGAGAGAGAGGGGGCATCTCAGCAGAGCCTTTCTGCAGCATCCGTTTCCCAGCCCTCTCCTATGCCCGCTTGCTTCCCAGTGCGGAGCAGCACCATTGCTGAGCACTTAAAAGACGCAGGACCCAGCTCTGCACATGGTAAAATATGTGCAAATTAAAATTATTACTAGGATATATTGAACTCAAACTCGATTTGACTCATACATTCCACAATGGCTTTGCACCTTGACATTTGGTATCATCTCAAACCAAGGGGAACATTTCTCTCTCCCTTCCCTCCACAAGCTGACCTGACGTGCAGGGAAAAATTTGTATTAGTGTGCTGCAGTGGGAGGGTTGGAGAATGCAGGAAGGGGGCGTGAACCCTTCCTTCCTTGGCTGCAATCCTCTTTGAAAATTACCCTCCTGCAGAGCTATTAAACCAAGGGCAAAAAGGAAAAACCCACTTTGCATTGGCACTAATGAACACCAGGGCTCTGTGAAATAGCTCCAGATCTGGAACTATTCGGTTTTCCAGATTTGCAACTATCCAGTAAATAGATTTGGGTCCCCATGGCCCCTGGAGATGTCCTTGCCCAGAGGCAGATTGCACCATGTGCCGCGAGGTTCAACTCCCAGGAATATGCACAGGATGACAGCCCATGTCATGGAGCTAAAGCTTTGCAGAGCACTTCCTATCTATATTTGCTCATTTGTAAGTTCCAGGGTGCGATCCTGTGCAAGTTTAGAAAAAAAAATCCTGCAACTCTGAGGTATGTTGGGAGGTGTAGAAAGTCTTCCTGTCTGGACACGCATACAAATGCACCCTTACTTCTCCAAACTGTGCACAAGGAAGCATTTCAGCCACAATTGGTTAGCAATTTTTAAAAGTTGAAAGAAATGTTCAGGGCTAGGGCTGTTGGTTTGCTTTTAGTTCACAGGTGGATTTACTTCCACCAAGTTTGTCCCTGCTAGTTTCTTTCCTTTTGGGACTATTCTATATCCAGTGTGTCACTTAGCTGGTAATGGAGAAGAAAAGGTAGACCTTGCGTTCTAAGGATTGGTAGGTTTTATTCTTTATTTGATGTAAAATTCTTTTAAACTGCAACAGTGCCATCAACAGCTCTGGGGAAAGCAAAGGGCTGTGCGGAGTTCCAGGCATGCATCTTTCCCAATGCTGCTTGGAGAAGGGCTGGGACAGAATCTGACACTTACTTCTGCAAGCCAGGCAAGGGCCCAGTCCATCCTTAGCTGGAAGTTTGGGGATGAAGAGGAACAGGCTGGGAGACCACCTACCCATCATCCCAGCTGCAGAGTTAAGCCAAGCAGCAGAAAACTTCCCAGGCCATTTTCTGCCTTCAGCATTCAGCAATCTCTCTTCTGCAGCCATGCAGTTCTTCCCCTGTGTAAGCCCCGTATGAGTACGTTCTAGGACGCTAAACCCCAGGCCCTGGTCTGTGAAAATGGAAGCTCATTTACCAAGCTTGGGTTGAGGCAGGCAAGCCCTGGCTGGAAGGTGTCAGGAGAACAGGGCAAGTCCCCCAGAGCACCTCCCAACGAGGCATCCAAAGGCAGTTCGGGTTGAAGACAGGAACTCAGGTGCTCCAGATAACTGGGGATCTCCTCGCAAGATGTGCAGCTCTGGAGCTGCCAGGGTGGTAAACAGCTGGAGGATGAAGACTCGAGCTCCACATCTGCATATGGGCCTAACAGAAGTATGAGAAAGAGAGCAGGACACTGAAGGAGCAGATTTCCCTACTAAAGTCAGCCAGGAACGAGGCAGAATGAAAACCCCTGGAGCAGGTGGTAAATGTTCAGGGGATGCTAGATAAAGAGAAAGGGAGAAATTTCAGCTACTTGATTCCTGCAGCAGCCCAAGAGTACTGGCAGCTTTAGTGGCCATCATTACAAAATGCCTAATCTGAAAGCCACCGTTTTCGTATCCACCTGCCGTGTCTACGGATCTTATCCAGCAAAAACATTTGTTAGGTGTCTGTCAGACATTACAGCATCTAAACAAGGCCTTGCTGAGTTTGGACAGTTGTTGGCGGGACAATGCAACTACAGCTTCGCTTAAACAGTCCAGTAGTCGCTGCATTTTGAGAGGAGGTTATTACACAGATAAATGCTGTACTGGAACAGTTTTGGATATTCACTGATGTGCACGATCCTTTAACGTATGATGCCATATATTATTTACAGTGCTTGATCAGGTGGCATATAGACACAATTTTCAAACTGCTGTTTATTTGGATATTTGGTTTGCTTTTGTTGCAGTCTAGGGGTAAGCACTTGAAAGCTGAATGCATCTTCTGCGTATTCCTTGCTAAGGATATATGACAATGCATGCATTTATATTTATTTTTTAAAATAGGAAAACATAAGGAAAGGCAGGGAGCACACCGAGGATATCTTTGCAGACATCACTGGGGATGTCTGTGGATGATGGGGCACCTGCTTGTTGGCCCACATTGGGGATGCCCCCTCTAAAGTCTTGCTGCATCACCCAGACATCTGACTCCCCGTGTCCCTTCCCTGAAACAGGTTTTTTCACCCTTCTGCATAGCAGGACGGATCTTCCGTCTCCACCTCATTTTATCCCCATGGGCCAGTAAGGTAGATTAGGCAGAGAGGGTGCCTAAGATAACCTAGTGACCTTCATAGCTTCCTGAGCCACGTCTTCTACTCAGTATTGACTCAGGGACAGCAAGCTGGCCCTGGAGGGCTATAGATGTGGTGAGACATGGATATGGGTCTGCTGAGGAATTATCTGGGTCACCAGTTTACTGTAAAAATGGGACTGGGTGGCGGGGGGGCACTTCTGAAACCGCGTTTTTCCTCTATGGCATGGAGACACCATCTGCAGCTTTCACTCAACCACAGTTCACTGAGAATCCAAAGGGTCACTTTCTCTTCCAAATGAGTACGTACCCATTTGATTCTTCTGCTTTTGGGAATTTCTCTTGCATGCCGAGTTATTTGTGGGTGCCACTGCCTGCGGGAGCCTGGTTCTTCGGGGTTTTGTGTATCAAAAAGGTGTATCAATCTGTGTGCGTATCCAGCCTGAAGAACAGTATGAGAATCTCATACTGCTATATAGATATATACAAACCTGGATCCTGAACTGTATTGATCAAAACTTCATTTATCTATGCAGAGATGTGCTGTTGGCTCCATTGTAAAGGAAGGGTATCCACTGTGGGTTTCAGCCTCAATTTTAAAGGTGTTATCCGTGATGCTGAACCTAGTTTGGAGTTAGTCTTCAGCACCATGGGGAGTTGCTTTAAAATTCCACTAAAACCTGGAGGGGAAGCCCAGTCTGCCGCTACTGAAGCTACAAACCTCCTTTGCAAAGAAGAATATTGATTGTCCATGGGATGGATGAATTTGCAGGAAACCAAAGTAGAGTTTCATTGTGTCATTTTAAGTTGTCTGAATCATTTAACTGCCCACACCTAAAGGACTAAGCAAAAGTCAACATACCTTCCTCTTTAACGTGATCAGCTCTTGCATGGTTCTGTACACCAGGAAGGAGCTGATATAAGCTGTGAAAAAAGATTAACCCCCTCTGGATTTTCAGGAAGAGAGAGAGAGAAACAGAACGGGCATGAAAAAGCAAGTTTGCAGAGCTGGGAACCAACACACTGATCAGCAGGAACAGTTAAATTTGCCCAATCCCTTTATGGTAGCAGGGGAGAAAGAAAGCAACCCCGTGTGGTATCTTAGATTCTGGGGGGTGACTGATCTTTCTGGATAGGATGAATATGAAGGCAAACAGCAAACTGAACTGGAGAGGCTTTTAAGAGACTCTGCTCACTTCCCTCCCCCCAACTTGGCCCCCACATTCTCATCTGCATTTAGCAAGCTCTTTCCAGGGTTCCGATTGGCCAGGTTCCTAATTAAATGCCTGTGGCTTGACTCCCAAATCTAGATTCAAGATGCAACTTCTGGGAATAGAGTATGGGAGTCTGGGAAAAACAGTGCAGGGGGGTTGTGTTGTGAGGCCGTGCTTTTTGTACCAACCTGCACAGGGAGGGGAGAATGACTCCGTGAACTGGACACTGCCGCTGCCTTCTCCGGAAACCTGAGAAAAAACGGACCAAAGCAAAGCTGCAGTGGTTCTCCTCTTAAAAAGCAGAAGGACTCTTCCCTCCCCAGCCCCCTCTCCTTCATTCCCTACAGTGGAGGTAAGTCCAGGATTTTTCTCCATGAGAAAGTTCCGCGACTGCATGCAGGAGCAAAATGAAGGGCACTAGCATTAAAAGCTGGAGTGGTCCTCTTAGGTGAAGTGATGGCCTGATTAGACATTGGGACTCGATTAACTAGCTAAAACTCTCTCCCCAGAGCTGCACAGACTTTCTTTAAACATAACATTCCCAACACCCATTGAGGACACACCACGGGTGCTTACTGGGTCAGAGCAGTGGGGAAGGTGGCTTGATTCAAGCAACACAGCTCTGTTTATGTGGCGTTAAGAGAGCAGAAGACATAAGAAGGCAATTGGACGACCGACCATCCCAGCAAACAGCCCATTTACAAGGCAGTGCCTCTGGAATTTACAACCCTCCTTTGCTGAAATTCATACATGCAGGCATTCAGCAGCTGCTCTCAAACCAGAAGCCTGCAGCGGATACACACAGATTTCACCTAAACAGAAATGGGAATCAAATGGGAAGGCTCTCTCAGAGGTGAAATACTGGGAAGGATCTCGGGAAACAGAGTGGGATTTCTTGCGAGACATACGAGGCAGCTCTGAGTCTGCTCCAAGCCTGGAGGGGACACCACCGAGATCCATTCCATGGAGCCTCCTTGACTCCACATTGGAAGAAGGTGGAATATAAATGCAATGAGCAACATTTTTGAGGGAGGGAAGGAGGGAGGCTGGAGAGCCATATCCTCTTGGCCTGGGTTCCAATGCAGCTAAAATTCAATCCGATTTCAATGTTCCCTCTTCTTGCGAAATGCCCAGATAAATTCAAGGGATGCCAGTCAAGAACCCCATGGACAGGAGGTAGTTTACACATCAATATTAAGAACTGTTCCCACTGCATGTTTAATATGGGGTCCATGCCCCTAATTAAATTATCCCAATATTTGTAATGTTCCTTTCTGCCCCACAGCATGGGCAGCTAACAAATTTGTTTTTAAATGCAAACAGTGAAGCCAGCAGAAATAGAAATTGGGACCAGCAGGAACGATGTGAAAATGGCAAAGGAGAAACCCAAGAACGCAGGAGTCTCTTAGCCCCCATGGGTAAAGAGAAGACACTTAACCTTGCACTTATCCTAGCATCTATTGAGATCATTGCTTTGTTTCCTTTTGCTCTGTTTAACTTTGAATGCATGGTTTACAGCTACACCAGGTTCACGCAGAAAGCTTTTCTATCCCTTACTTGGATTCATGTTCGAAAGAAAACAAAAGAAAACACTCATTTATCTTCTCCCCTCCCTGCAGGCTGCAGAGAAACTGCCTTAATTGTGCCATAAGATTTCCCAGTTAGGCAAAAGAACAATTGTAGTGTGGCTAGAAAGCTAAAAGCTTGGAGCAGTGCTTGCGTTGGAGCCTTTCTCGAATGTCTTACGGGTGGTTTCCCGGCTAAAAGCAGAAGCTTGTACGGGTCTGTAGGAGTCTCGGCTGTCTTGCAGAAACATCTTCACAAGGAGCAAATGGTGGGGAGGGGACTGAATCTGTGGAAGGGGGAAAGATCCCTCCAGTGCTGTGAACCCGGAAGCAATATTTGGCCATGGCTGCAAATAATCCGTGTGCATGTTCATTCCCTTGCAGGACAAGTTAACACTTTCCTGCCTTCCATTAAAAATTTGGAATGGTCCGTGTTGGTGGTACTTCTGTTTCATTTCTATACTGCCCAAGAGGTGAAGCTCTCTGGGTGATTCGCTATTGCAGCACAGCAGCACAGCATAAAAAGGTCCAAATCTCAAAATCTTCCGAACAAGATAGGGCACAAAGGGGACTTGTGAAATACCTGGGTTGGGTCATTCCCCCATGCCATTAAATATCCCCCCGTTTTCTTGAAATGCTTAATCACAGAGGGCCACCTTAGCCTGGAGGTCAGAGGATGGCAAGGTTGGTGCCAGGAGGGCCTCAGTGGGAAGATCATTCCATGCCGAGGGGCCACCACTGAGAAGGCCCTCCACCTCCTTGCCCCCTTCTGAGCCTCCTTTGAAGTTGGCACTGGGAAGAAGGTACTGGATGCTGAGCGTGGCTGCCAGTGTGGAGCCAGCAAGTGATGTATGTGGCACATTGCTGGTTTTTCCACCCAGAAAAGAGGCTGCCCCTTGGCAGCTTAGAGCCCAACTGACCAGCCTCCTAGCCCTCAAAGAGGCAGCAGCCAGGCCAAGTGGGGAAGGTGCTTACGGTATCGTCTGCCATCACGGCCTGCTTGGCTCTCCTCTGCTGCAGAAGCTCCTTCACGGTAATCTTGACACGGACACCTTGGTAGATCTTTGGTTTTCCTGAAATGGTACGATTACAGATATAGATACACACACACATGTGCAATGAAACCAACTGGGCACATGGCTGAGGTTATGTTGGGACCAGCAGGACATGGGTTTAGGATCAACTGGCTTTGATTCGCCAACTCTTCAAGCGGACAGATTTGCACTTAAGAAATGAGGGTGCTGAGTTCTTTCCAGACCCTACTTCCTTCCGGACTTGAACTAAAGTCATCCATAATTGTTAAAAGAGAGAGAGGGAGGGAGGGAGGGAGGGAGGGAGAGAGGACTTAAAGGAAGTACTTCCGCATGGAGTGCAAGCCTGCACATGCCTACTTGAAAGTAAGCCCTTCTTTTGTTTGGTGCCACTCTGGTCATCTCAAGCTGCTACCCTCTAGCTATGCCAGCCGGGCTGCAATCCGCAGCACTGCGTTCATTCATGGCTGCCCTGACCAATAAAGGTTGCCCTGAGTCATTCTGAGGCCTTAGGTTATTGAAGCCAACCCATCCAAGGCTTACTAAGGAAGCCCTGCTTTGTTGTGGACACACAGCGCAGCTGGGTGGCTCGGATCCCTCCGTCATTTCCAAAAAGGCTCCTGCAGGTGACCTGCGGGGATACAGGGACATTTCCACACAGGGCGGGTGCCGTCCTTCTAATCATGGCATGGAAACGACTGGAGTGGTGGGAAATGCAGGTGCCCTTCTTGATCCAAGTATTTTGACTCAGGCTGAAGTGTTTGCATTGTCCACCAAGGGCCATAATTTCTGGCTGGGGGTCAAGCAGCTGCCTTGCATTTTTCCCTGAGCGGATTTCCTGTGGTCAGGAGAAAGCCAAAGGAAGCCGTGAGGAAGCACAGGACAGTGGCGAGTAGAAGATGGGATATGGCAGCTGTCTGGATTCCAGTGGCCTTCCGTTTGCAACCCGCCTGAGTTTTCCCACTGCTTCTGCCTTTTTTCTTTCCATGGGAAGGGAGGGATGGTTGAGGAGGAAAAGATGGAGTAAGTGCACAATGCCCTTGGATTGCTAGCAGGATGAGTCCGCAGTCTGAATGCTCCTTAAGACTAATCCTTCATGCACAGTTATCCAAATGGAAAACTCATTGAACACAGTGGGATGCATGGGATTGTGCTGTGAAAGTGTGAATGGTTTGTGTCCCTAGTTCAAGTCTCACTCCTGCCATGTGACCTTCCTGGCTGATCTTGGATCACTATCCTTGCCCTGGTTTGCACTTCATGACAACCCAGAGTATGCCTTCTTAGGGCATCATGGTTTGTTACTGCATTGTGGTTTATCATTATATTCAAACCCTGCATGATGGTTTAGCTACAGGTTGTTTTTATGTGCAAACCAGGGCAATGTGTGTGATCCAAGGTCAACTCAAAGTCCACAACCGAACAACAAACCATGGGTTGTCTTTCTGGGTTATTTATGGTTAATTCATAATCAAACCAGATGACATTAGCAAAAGTGCAGGGTTCACATGTAACAAAAACCCATCATGCAATGACAACCCATGCTCTGGGCTGCTGTTTCCAGGCCTCAGCCTCTACCTGCCTACCCAGCCCTCCGTCTGCTACATGGGAAGAATTATCCCATATAATACATAAAGAGGCGTTGTAAGGCTTGCCGGGAGAATATGTGCGCAGAGGTCAGAAAGTGCTATGCAAATACTAAGTATTAAGCAACCCGACTGATGCAGCCAGCCCTGATTGGAGAAATGAAAGTCAGGGAGAGGGCAGAGAAAGAAACAGAAACACGAGAGCGCATTTTCGTAAAGCCATTGTAAATATTCAAGACACACAGCAGCAGGTTCACGTTTCAGCAACATGATTTAGGCTGGGAATAATTGCTAGATCCTTGGAACAATTGGGCTAGATGTAAAGCATCAAGATCTTATTTCTGTGGAGGGTTTTGAAAGGGCCAGGCGGATGAGTGCGAGCAGGCTTTGTAAAAACCTAAGAGCTCTGCTCAGACAACCGTAGGACAACGACACCCTTCTGCCCAAGCAGTGTATAGGCAAGTGCTGTACACAGGAATGCTGACTCTAAGTAATACATATCCATGAGGACTAGGAGCCTTGATAGCCTTCTCCTCCAGGAACCTTTTAAAGCCGCCCAAATGGGTCAGCTTTACTGCATCTTGTCGATGAGAATCCCACAGTTTAACTGCATGCTTGCTCTTATCTGTCCTGAATCTCCCACGATTCAGCTTTGTGGGTTAACCTCAGGCTCTAATATTTGGAGAGACTGCCCACTTTCTCTGCTCCAGACTTTTATATGCTTCTGTCATGTGTCCTCCTGAGTTCCAACCTTTCTAACTTCTCTGAAAGGGCAAATTCTTTGCCCTTTTCTTCACCTTCCCCAATTCTATATTGTCCTTTTTAAGATGTGGTGACAGGAACTGTACACCACAGTCTGGGTGCAGTCACATTATGGGACTGGATGTTTTATTTTCAATTTCTTTGCAATGTTGCCAACATAACATTTGCCCTTTTCACTGCAGTGGCACACTGAGTACCTCTTATGTGCCAAACAATCTTTCACAAACCCGAGGCATCTTTTGTGGCCAGTCTGTTTCTCCACTAGCATGGAAGCAAAGACAGAACTGTTTACCCCAGTGTAGCAAAAGCTGCACCTGCTGCTTTAATGCCCATTCCCTCATTCTGGAAAGACCCCCTTGAAGTTCATAACTGTCCCTTCCCCAACACCTGCTTTAATACTTTGGTGTCATCAGCAAACCTGGCCATTTCACTGCTCTCTTAATTCCAGGTCTATCGACAAGAGAAAGAGTCTGGGACCCTGTACAATTCCTGGAAGAGATTTTTGGGCACCTGAGTGGTGTGCTAAGGTCAGAAGCTGAGATGCCTGCACTGCTTAAAATACTTAAAATATATTTCCCTACAATATGTTTTAAAATTACAGTTTTCACAGCTGCTTTTGCACTGTGTAAAAAAGAAAGAAGACACCTTTTATTGGCACTCAGTACTTTAGTTGTTCCTTGGCCTTGATGAATGGGGTAACCCCTGGGCATGGATCAGTTCCCTCCAGCATTCACCTTGCTGACGTAACTGAGAAACTGTAGTAATGATGCAGCCAGTGAAAACAATCTAGCTGCAATCAGACGACAGCATTTCTAAGAGGCTTCTATGGCTCCCAGAAGACTCCCTGAGCTCCCATGTGTTGCACAACTGAAGGGCATTGGAACAGCCAGGCAGATGGGCTTGCAAAGAAGGCACTGGCTGCATGCTAGCTAACTGCTGGTCCATGATTAAAGGCGATTGTGTGGTTGTCATCCCAGCTGCCTTCACTCAGGGGAATGCCAGTCTAAACTCAGTGAGATGGCGGCTCACAAAGCTTTCCTCCCAGCACCCCAGAACTGCATATTGCGTTGTTGCTACTCGGTCAACATTATCCTCTTCATCCACCTTTCTCCCACCATAGGAAGAGGGCTGTGGACAATCCTTTTGCCTTCGACCGCTCTGCACAGGGCATTTCTGCACTACCGACTCCTGTGGGTTTGTCTCCAACATGGTATACTCGGCCCAGCTTTCCCAAAGAAACTCTGGGAAGCGTCATTTTGTAGCTGCCCCTAAGAACGTCCTGCAATTTAATGCCGAAGCAAGAGGGTGCCTTCAGCCATCTGGGGATTGTGCGTTTCCCACAAAGTGTCATGGGTCAAGGTAATTCTTCCTTGACTGATTTTTTAAAGTAAGAAAAAAAAGGAAGAAGCAGCAGTGTGATTGTGCAGACCTTGTCTGGAGGCACCCCACGTTTGCAGGGTTGTGGAGTCAAGATTCACAGGGACACGAGGCGGGCGCCTCTTGATCCGCAGTCACCGATCTCCACCCCACTACACCCTTTGTGCTTGGCTGCAATTGCCCCCATAGCTGCAGGCATGAGGATTTTCTTGGCAACACTAGAGCCTTCCCTGCTGCGTTGTGCAGGACTTTGGGCACCCAGGTCTGGAACGGGCCATTCTGATCCCCAAAGACTGGGCGCCAAGGGACAGATCCACCCAGCGGCAGCATTTTGGGGGGTCTGAGGCCATTTGGGGCTGAGAAAGGAGCTCAGAATCTATGTCAAGGGAAGCAAGAGGGAGAAGGAAGGGTAACTGGGAGGGTGGGGGTCTCTGTACCTTCTCCCTCCCCGCAGGAAAATAAAAAGGTGTGATGGGGGGCACAGTCTTTGACAAGTACCCCACAGTCTAAGGATCAGGAACAGGGGAGGGCTAGAGGTAGCCTGCCAAGGAAGGGGCTCTGAACCTTTCAGTTGGTGCCCTGAATCTCTGCCCACCACCCCGCTGTCCAGGGGCACTTGGTGGCATAAAGGTCCGGCAGCCTTGGTGATTTCTGACCCGGGGGGCAAAGTGGCCTTTTCCCACGTGCACTCCCCCACCCCCTACCCGTTTTCTTCCTGGCCCTGCTCCGCCCGCCCGCCCCGGCAGCGAACGGGGTCCCTCGAGGACCAGCAGGGCGCTTTTAAAGCCCGTGCCAATCAGCATACACACGCGCGTGGACCCAAGCCCCGCGTCTCTTCGATGCTAGCACCGCCCTGCTCAGGAGGAATCCCCATTCGGTTCAGTGTGGCTCCCCTTCTCGCGGGACAAGCCGTGCGGATGCGAGGCAGCCCAGCTGCGGCCCGTGGCATCCTGACCTGCCAGGTCGGGCGCAAAGCGGCCGGAGCAAGAGGAAAGGTGGGGGAAAGAGTCTAGCAGAGCCCCGTAAGCGGAGCCCCCGGTGCCCCCCGCGTCCACGGAAGGGCAGAGGAGGGAGCCCTGGGCCTCTGCAGCAAGGCTGGCTCTGCCCTAGCTCTGCAGCGGAGAAAGCGCAGGAAAAGGTGGCGGGCGCAGAGCGCGGGACGGCGCGTCGCAGCGCCCCCGTGGCAGGCCACGGAACGCCGTGAGTAGCGAGCGAGCGCCCTTCCTCCGCCCCGACTCCGGGGCGCCCGCCCCCGCCGGATCGGGCCCCTCGCTCCCCCCGCGCCGCGGCGCGCCTCCGCCGCAGCCACGCGGAAAAGCCGCCCTGGGCGCCCTTCCCAGCGCTGTTGCGGGAGGCACGT